TAACATCTTGAAGGGAGAAAGGCTTCAAGCCAGGAATCCTAATGTACTCATAAAAGATATATTTCAGGGTGTGAGAAAAATACTTAGGATTATGCAAACCATGGAGTATATGCTGCATTAGAAGAAAATAATTGAGAAAACAATGTATTCAAACAATAGATAAAATAGAAGAGAGACTCTGTGATGGAGAAGATATGTAGCCATATATAGCTAACCCTGTATGGATAAGAGTACCCTCCTGATTTGTAAATGTTAATTATGGAATCTTGAAACTAAAGGAAATATGGGGACTGAATGCTAGCCTACAACCCAAAGTACTACATTATTTGGGCAAAACCAAAGAATTTGCAGTGGGTGGGAGTAGAGAAAAGTAAACACATTTAAAAAGCTTTGTGTGGGGCATGCAGAAGAGGGGAAAACTAAGCATAGCTCATTTGGTGTGGGGTGTGGGTCTGAGGGGGTGTGTGTGTGTGTGTGTGTGTGTGTGTTTGTGTTTATGAATAATGGTAGAAAAGCAGGAGCTACAATGGAATTACAGCATCTTGGTTGAAAAAAACCTTGCCATCTGATTAAAAAAAAATCTTATTATTAAATACTCATCCTTTATTTTAGGTAACAGAGAGATAGAAATATGGCGTGTGCATAAAAACTAAATTTGTGGATTTTTTTTTAAGATTTTATTTTTAAATAATTTCTACACCCAATGTAGGGCTCGAATTTACAACCCTGAGAACAGGAGTTGCATGCTCTGCCCACTGAGCCAGACATCTGCTTTTTTAATAGTAGAAAGATATGAAAGATATGTATCTGATTAAGAGTCTCATTAATATAACCATTAAAAGGTGGAAAAATAGATTAACATGAATATAAGCAGAAATAAGTTCATAATGTAACCAGCAAAAATAAGGAAAAGGAAAAAGAAGGAAAGAGAATATAAAAATACAGTCCGTTCTGGGGCACCTGGGTGGCTCAGTGGGTTAAGCCTCTGCCTTTGGCTCAGGTCATGATCTCAGTGTCCTGGGATCAAGCCCCACATCGCATTGGGCTCTCTGCTCAGCAGGGAGCCTGCTTCTCCCTCCCCCTCTGCCTGCCTCTCTGCCTACTTGTGATCTCTGTCTGTCAAATAAATAAATAAAATATTAAAAAAAAATACAGTCCGTTCTATGACTCAACATATTTGTTTCCAAAATGACTGCCTTCTACAAAATCATAGAATTAAAAAACCACAAGGCTTATGGGAAAAATGGGGTGAAGACCACAACACTCAAAACCTTTATCAGCGATAATAAGATTAGAACCTAATAAAAATGGGCAGGACAGCTTAATATGCCAAATGGTTAAAATAATACATAAATACTACAATAAATATCTCAAATTACCTTGAAAAAGACTGCCATTTACTTGTGAAAGTGGGAGCTGGAATGGTTGCTGATTGAGTTTCTGTAAAGGGGTAGAAGGAGGGCTATCAACATTTGCAGTCTTCTGCAGCATTAAATCTGGAAGAATGTTTGTCTTTGAGATGTAGTTCCTTCAAAGCACGTGTTTATAATAGATAACTTGTTTCATCAGTATTTAAAATTTTATCCAATGCCTGGCCTTCTCTTTAACTGACTTGGGTATCACTGCTGGACAGACACCATCTGTGGTTTCCTCATGTGCACTCACAGCTATATCAACAGGGAATGGTACTGATGTTTAGAACCACCAAAACAGTTGCTAGTAGGATTAAAAGGAGCAGCTCTGCAGGGTTTGGTGATTGAGGTCTTTGTATATAGTAAGTAATGCTTTCTCTTTGATTGTGAGAACTCATTGTTGTACTATTTGATCTTTAATTTACATGCTTAACAATCTTTCAGTTCCTTCTTCTTCTTTTTTTAGGTCTTGTTCTTATTGACTTTCACAACACTTGAAGTCATTCCAGGCACAAACATTTATTCATTTATTTTTGGCTAAGGTCAACCAGTAGTTTTCTGCCTTTAAGGATATTACTCATGAAGTGATTCATAAGAAAACATGAAATTTATTTCCAAAGTTTTCCCTAACATGTCAATCATGTTGGAACAAATTCATATTTAAACAAAATCACCATAACAGAACTGACTATACATGATAAACAAGTAACATAAGGGATAAACTGTTCTGTCATTGCATTAAATGTTAATTGACTGAGAACCCCCTTTACAAGAAAGAGACCATCAAATTGAAACAAAAAAAGCACAGCTCTATACTGACTTTACAGGAAACATGTTATAACAAAGGGATCAGCAGAGAGATATGACGTAGATTCAAATAAATTAGGCAGGAGTAGTATTATAAATATCAGAAAAGCTGAAATTTAAGGATAATGACACTATTCAGAATTAAGATATTCTACAATAATAAAATTACTATTTATAAAGGAGATATACTGATACCTTTTATGTACCCAGCATAGCAACTAAATAAACTAAAATCTATTAGAAACTAAATTAGATCCAGCAGAATTTATAACAAAATTTTAGGATAATGTTTTCAATCTTGAATAGGTCTGGTAGGGAATAAATAAAAATTGTTTTGAGTAAAACAATATTGTATGTATATGTATATACATGTGCATGTATGTGACCATATATATAACATTTTTATATCCCTTAAGTAAAGAAAATATTATAGGTCAATCTTATGTTTTAACAAGTAAAAGAATGAAATATTAGAAAAAGAATTTTTATAATTTATCAAACAGTATACTATGATAAAAGTCTTATTTTACCAATGGATGGTGATTTATTATCAGGAAAGATGCCACCAAAATTTAATCCATGATTGAATATAAAACAAACTTAAAGAGAATAAACATGTTCATAACAATGGATGTTGAAAACAGCATTTAAAAAATTTATTAGGGATTTCCAGTAAAACATTTAGAAAAAAACACATTACAATCATAAAGTGCATTTACCAAAAACATAGCTGAAACTGATTTCTTCCCTAAATGGTGAAAAGCTAAAAATCGCTGAAAAGGGGGTGCCTGGCTGGCTCAGCTGGTAGAGCATGTGAGTCTTGATCTCCGCCCTGCATTTAAGCTCCACATTAGGTGTAGAGCTTACTTAAAAAAAGAAATAAAATAAAATGTTAGGGGCGCCTGGGTGGCTCAGTGGGTTAAGCCACTGCCTTCGGCTCGGGTCATGATCTTGGGATCCTGGGATCGAGTCCCACGTCGGGCTCTCTGCTCAGCAGGGAGCCTGCTTCCCCCTCTCTCTCTCTCTGCCTGCCTCTTTGCCTACTTGTGATCTCTCTCTGTCAAATAAATAAATAAAATCTTTAAAAAAAAAAAGAAATAAAATAAAATGTTAAATATCCCTTAAAAAAATCATTGAAGGTATTGCTTCTAAATGAAAAAAGAAATGGGCAAAGGACATGAGTGGACAATTCATAGTACAGCAGATGCAAAATATCACTGAATGAAATGATGATCAAACTCACTAGGAGTTGAAGATGGCATTATAACCTGGTTAGATTGGCCTAAATTAACAAATTAACAAAAATAACAACAAAAAAACCACCAAAACACTGATATCTTCCTATTGCTTGTGGTGGAAAAGAGGAGTTTCAGAAATTGCTAGAGGATGTGTGAATTCTTAGTTTTTGGGGAAAAAGGATATCTAGTAACAACTATCATAATTAAAAAGGGAAAAAAAGAACACCTCGTATTCCCTTTTACCTAGTAATTTCATCCTGGGTAGTTAGGCCATAGAATTAAAGGCACCAATATATAAGTATAAATATATAAAGATGATTAATTAAACTTGTTCATAGTATCACAAAAACAGGAAAAAAACAGTGCTTGGGTGGCTCAGTTGGTTAATAATATGACTTGATCTCAGCTCAGGTCTTTATCTCAGGGTTGTAAGTTTAAGCCCACAATGGGCTCCATGCCTAAAAAATGGGGTGCTGGGTGGCACGTTCAACTCTTGGTTTCAGCTCAGGTCATGATCTCAGGGTCATGAGATCCAGCCCCGTTTGGGGCTCCACACTGAGCATTGTGTCTGCGTGAGATTTTCTCTTCCTCTCCTTCTGCTGCTCCTGCTCCTGCTCTCTCTTTCTTTCTATCTTTCTCAAATAAATAAATATATTTTTTTAAATGGGAAAAAAGTGAGTGTCCATTATGATGGTTGAATTTTATAGTTGTATATAATGAATTATTTTTCAGCTATTAAAAATGAATTAGAGCTAGATTGAGGTACTTTGCAGAATTTCTATAAGGTATTATTGGGTTAAAAGGAAAAGAACCAGAGAAGTATATGTAATAAGATTTTTTTGGTAACAAATCATGAAAACAATCTCTCTATGCATGTGCATACTGAAAAATATGGTGGAATAGTACTACATTTTTAACATGATTTTCTTGGAGAAGAAAGAATAAATGTTGTGAAGAAGGGAAGGAGGGAAAGGTGGTATCAAGAACCAAGAAAAGGAGGGGCACCTGGGTGGCTTAGTCAGTTAAGCGTCTTCTTTCAGCTCAGGTCATGATCCCAGGGTCCTGGGATTGAGCTCTGCATTGGGTTCCCTGCTAAGCAAAGAGCCTGCTTCTTCCTTTCCCTCTGCGGCTCCCCACGCTTGTGCGTGTGCTCTCTCTCCCTCTTTCTGTCAAATAAATAAATAAAATCTTAAAAAAAGAACAAAGAAAAGGAAAAACAAGAAATAACAGACTCTAAGGAACCAAAATGTCCAAGATATGATCACATTTATTCATCTCTGTAAAGTAGTATTATCTATTCTTATGCTTTCTGGAAGAAGAGAAAGATTGATATTTCACCATTAATAGGCTTATTTATAAATGCGATGAAAGCCCCAATAATGGACAGGCAGCTTTACTTTATGAGAATATCAGGCTCCAAAAATGTGGAATTAAATGGAAAATTTGGGTTTAAGAAGGGTGTGGTATGTCTAGGCTACATTTGTATCCTGCAGATCAGAGAGGGCATAAGCAAGATGCTGTCCTTACTTTGACCTTACCTTACCTGGAACAGTAGTGATGAATGCAGGACTTGGGTTTCTGCAAAGGGAGAAACTCTACATATTTCAAAAGGAACCAGCAAGATTGTATTTACATAAGGGTCTCATCATGCTGCTTTGCTTTCTCCATTGACAGCTGGAGCCAATTGTATGGAAGGCTGTGGCAAGCGGCCATCTGTATACAAGAATATAAACAAATTTCTGCTTTGAGGAAATTTTCCCTAGGTTTGAAAAAACATTTTGACGTCTGGGTCCCAAATGAAGAGATTCTGATTCAATTGGTATGTGATTGGGGCTGGGTTTTTAATATATAGTGGTAGAGAAATATAGAGATAGAGGGAGAACTTAATTCCCAGGTCATTTTATTGCTCAGATGGAATTGTAGAATTGTAACCAATTTCAAATCTATTTTTTCTGCTATTACACACTATTACACATCTAGCTTAGTTTCTAGAAGGGCCAAGATCCAATGAGGACTGCATCATTTAATGCTCACTGGTCAGTAAACTAGGACATGGGTTAAAGATGGATTAAAAGGGAATCGTGATGGTGATGTTTGTCATCAAGTTAGTATGTATGAGGCAGGACATGGACTAACATAAAAGAGCTGAACCTTTTATTGTGGTCAACGTTGACATTACATTGGAATCACCTGGGCGACATTAACTACTACTGATGCTTCCCCTCCCCCAAGGTTCTGAGGCAATTGAACTGGGCAATTTTATTTTTTTCTTAAAAATTTGTTTATTAGAGAGAGAGAGAGAGAGAGAGAGAGCACGTGAGGTGGGGAAATGGGCAGAAGGAGAGGGAGAGAGAGAATCTCAAGCAGATTCCCTGATAAGCATGGAGCCTGATGTGGGGACTTGATCTCAGGACGCTGCGGTCATGACCTGAGCTGAAATCAAGAGTCAGACACTTAACCAACAGAGCCACCCAGGTGCCCTGGTCTGGGCAATTTTAAAGGTTGCCAGTTGATTTTATTATGTAGCCAGGGTGAAAAGCCACTGATCTAAGAGAAAATAGCACCAAAAAAAAAAAAAAAAAAGTATAAAGGTAGAAAGACACTTTGAGATGGATGCCATGCCATTCATTTATTTATTCCTGCAGTTTAGGCATTCAATTTAGCATTCTTTTCATTACATTCAATTAATTCAGTGTTAAGCACCTACTTTGTGTTTGGCACTAAATTAAGGGCAGAGATTCTCCACTCAATCACCATGGGATACCTAAAATGCAAATCTGTTTTCACTACTTTCTCCTGTGCCTGGAAGGTGTGTCTCATTCTGACTCCAGCTCTGTGAGAAAGAGAAGGAAATTTTCTGTTCTATTCTCTCCTTCACTCTCTCTCTCTTTTCCCCCCTTTCTCTTGTTTGGTTTTAGCGAAGTGAGCAGGACAGAGATAGGAAAAGAGACTAGGAAACTTCCAGTGAGTATATATTTTACGTTAGGAAAGGGTTCGCATTTCATAGTTGGAAACTCACAAATCTGTGGAGGGATTATTAAATCCATCTTACAAGTGAAGATACTGACACTCAAAAAGTAAGTAACTTGTTGAAGGTCAAAAAGCCACCTTTCAAAAACTAATGATGTTCTGTACAGTGACTAACGTAGCATAATAAAAAAAGGGGGGGGGGAGCCACCTATTTGCAAAGGTGGATATAAACTGCAAAGTTCTTCTCAGAAAACTTTCAATTATACATCTCTAAAATCAGAAGAGTAAAATATGTCTCCACTGGAAACTGTAAGTGTGTATTTGGGGGGTGTCTGGAAAGGTAGTTTCTTTGAAGTTTCTTCATGTATCTTACATACTCATTTCGATTTTTATGTCATTCCCTATATGCTACTTAAAATATAAAGATTGTGGGGGCACCTGGGTGGCTCAGTCGGTTTAATGTCTGCCTTCAGGCCAGGTCATGATCCTGGGGTCCTGGGATGGAGCCCTGTGTCCTGCTGAGCAGGGAGCCTGCTTTTCCTTTTGCCCCTCCCCCTTCTTGTCTGTACACTTTCGCTCTCAAATAAATTCTTTAAGAAATTTAAAAAATAGAAATTGTGCTTAATTTAGTATTAGGAAAAAATCTTTAAGATTTTTTTTTTAGTATATTCGACACACAAAGAATAATCTTACATTTCTGCTTTAATGGGTACAATTCCATCAAGTTTAGCAATTTCAGAAAACTGTGGTAAAAACAACTGACTATGTATAAATTTCAGTATCCAGGAAAATTGTTGTCCACTCTCTTGTGATCACTAAATTTCAAAATTTTGTACTAACATAAATCTGGGGATACAAATGGCAATAGGTCCTTTTTCACTATGTTTTGAGACGTCTTGCTGAAAGAGACTCTCAACTCTTAACCTGAATTGCAAAAGTCTTGGCATCCACTGACCAGTCTTGCTCTCTGATGATGCTCTTTACTCCTAACAGTGTAATTCTCATCTCATGAATCAAGAATCTCAATTGACTCATCGTCCATATTACTAACTCCCTTCATCCAATTAAAACTTCATTTGCTGTGTAGTGATCATGTATGTATTTCAACCACTCTGTTTGCAGCACTCTGAGCCTTTGTGATTATTCAACTCTTGTAATTATCTGTTTAATTTGTACATTCCCTGCTGGTATAAGCTCCAGGAAGGTAGGAATTTTATCTGTATTTTTAACTAATGCAACTCCCACACTTAACATTTTGCCCTGTGCATATCAGACATTTTGTTGAGTGATTGCAGTATAGGACATTTCCAAATAACTTACTCCTAAAATTTACTTTTTACATTCCAACCTTCACTGAACTTGAAGAAAGCCTGAAGTAATTTTTAATTTCATTGCTTGTCCTATCCACAATTTTTTAATTGCATAATATCCTTACAGCTTTTGAGAGATTTGTTTGAAATGTTGCTATGTGAATGATGACTTATTGCCTAGGAATTTTAAGAAACAAAATTCCACCCAATATTTGGGATTATTTATGTCTTTATATAAAAAAGTTAGAATATAACATCATCATATGATCATCAAAGTTCACCAACATTGCTAGTATTAATAACTTCTGTGGACTATAAATTCACCCGTTTGGATTCTGGTAAGACCATCTCAAGGATATATTAACGAGACCTGAGGGACAATGGACAAGATCACTATTCATTTCTGATTTTTGGTATGTTTTTATTGGTTTCAGACATCTTTTTAAATGATTAAGATTCAGTGTTGCCTAAGGTCAGGTAAACCCATCCCGAGTTGGAACCAGTCACAGACCTGCTCTTTGTCTGATGCTGTCCACTCTGATTTCAAAGTAGAGGCCCTTTTCCACTTTTTCCTATTGTAATTTGCAAGTTCTGGCAGAATGGAAGAAGCATAAAGAAAATGGCTCACTGCTTCCTCTGGTATATACTCTATCTTGTGAGAATTTATGGTAGGTAGTACTTGAGAACAGGGCCTGCATGGCAATTTGGACAGCATCTCTCCTGCTGTATATCATCCCATTTTCTTCTTTGCCACACTGTAAATCAGCTTTGCAAATAGCCACTCATGCAGGGAAGTAACCCTTCAGGCTGGATAGTATAGTACTTTCTAATCTTGTATATGGTTTAGTAAGCTGTGTCTGCTAAATATACCGTATTTTCTTATCATTTCATCCCAAACCACAATTAATATTAACTGACAAGTGATGACAGTCTCAAAACTTTTTGGGCAAAGAAATGATGTTACTGCACACCGCTTTGTTAGGCAGGGTGTTATGTGGGTAATTAATAATTTTAGGATATCTAAATACCTATTCTAGAGGGTCGAGGTAGAAAAGCTTCACCAGGGGTGGGTGAAAAAGAAACAAAATAATGTGGTATAGTAAGATGCAGCTAAAATATAACCTTGGCATAAAGAAGAACAGGCACAAAATATAAACTAGCTCTTTTCAAGAAAAGTTTTGCGCTGATCCAACAGAGTTTAAAGTAGAGCTGCATGCCCAGGGTAAGGCTCTATAAAAAGAATTATCTGTGTATGTGTTTATGGTTTTCAAAGCCAGAACTAGTTCATGTGCCCACAGCTTTGATGGCTTCGAGGGGATGGGAAGCAGCGAGAGTTAGGAGGGAGTGTGGACTAGCCAGCAGCTCCTGGGCTCCTCAGCTCCTCCGTGTTAGCTGAAGAGCTGGCCTAGCCTCTTGCCTGGGGCTGAGAAACTGTAGTCAGCCTAGATCAAGGTCCTAGGGAGGGACTGAGCAGGTGGTTTGATTTGAAAGATTTGAACTGGCACCAAGTCAAGTTGGTGAGCCAGGTGGGGCAGAGGCAAGCGTGGCAAGAGTTCCATGACCCTGTGACTTTGAGAGGGGTATTTGACCTTGAAGGTATTTTTGGTTAAGGGCTGCTCTGTTTCTGCTTTTTCTGCTCCCCTGTGCACTGGAATTCTCACGTCTAAAAGGTTCAGAATGTTGGGAAAGAGACTTATTGTCTACAGTAGTATCGTATCCTTATTCCCAGGAAGAGTCTTCGTGTCCTGAATTAGAACTAGTTACCGATCTTTGACTTCAATGGTAAAATCATGGTGCTAGTGAAGGGGGAATTTTAAAGCCACGGATGTATCTGTGCTGCAGCAGTAAAATTCTAACCTGAGAGGATCCATAAAATCTGCAGCTCTCCTTACTTTGCCCTTGACTCTGTCAGCTCCCTTACTTAAAAAAAGGATGTGGGGCAGACTGATAAGATGGGTTCCCCAGAGTAGATCTACCCCCTCTTCAACCTGTCTTGGGTTGACAGTTTATGTAACACTAACTCCGAATGTGTGGCACTGACAGTTGTCAAATTAATATTTATACAGAATTTGTTCCATATGCAAAAAGAGTCAGGCTCAAGTTTTTAAACAATGGACACCAGTTTTACAGTTTGGGATGCTTTAAATATCATCCCAGTAGGACTGAATCTTCACTTGGCATAGAAGTGTGGTATATAAGCGAGTGCTGGGCCACTTATAGTGCTCAGTAATTATGTGTCTCTCACAAGATAACTTTATTATTATCCCTCAAGAGAACTGTGAGACTTTCAAAAGTATTCTTTTTCTCTCTTGTCTGACTCCAGTCACACACTGTCTCAGAAAGGAGCCTTAACTAAGTGTTCGTTTTCCCCATAACTTTTGTACAATGCCATCAAGGCTTCAGCATTTGGAATAAGCCCAAAAGCTTCCTTTA